CGATCTCTTCAGCTGCTTTATGCGGCTTCATCAGCTTCGTCAGCTGCATTGTTCGTGATTTGGTTGTCTTCTACGACTCAAATCGTCAATCTAGCCCCACCGCTATACTCGAAGAAGACAGGAAGGGTCGTAGCTCGTCTCATTGTGCTCAAAGAAGACGGCAAGGGGATTGTGTCACAACTTGTCGCCTCGTCGTGCTCGAAGAGGGTAGAGCCGAAGCAGAGCCTCGTCGAGCCCCAGCTTCTCGCTTCCTATGCACAGACATCGACACCTGCTTGACAACGCCCCGTACGATACCCTTCTCTCTCCTCTGCAAACGTTATTCTACAGTTTCGTTCTCGGTCTTTTTGCCTTCTGCTTCGATGGCAACTATTCCTCCCCCGAATCTACCCCTACGTAAATATTCTTTTGTTGAGGCACTTGCTAAGGGTCTAGACACTGAGAAGATTGTCGACAATGTGGTGTTTCCTCAAATCTATCATGATTCTCTTGAAGAAATAGCCGACTGTCCATTTAAGAGGGCATGTAGGAAGAATGGTAAGGTTGCTCTTATCTTTTCAAACTTCGAATTCTCTACTCTGGTTGAAAAATAGAAAATTCACTCTTATTGAGAAATTTCAGTTGAAGCATCCCAAAATGAAGGTTATTCGCAAAGCTTTTCAGAATCTCAAACTTGTAGGACAATGAATAGATGGGAGACATGTGATGATATATTTGACTACGGATGAAGACTATGCTAGGATTTTTTCAAGGAAATACCTCACCATTGAAGGAATAACTATGAATTTTCTCCAGTGGTCTCTTGAATTTGATCCAAATCAAGAACTAACTACAGTACCAATATGGTTTAAGTTACCTGAGCTTAAGTTGCATCATTTCAACCATCAGGTCATTTATTCCATTGGGGTCATACTTGGGAGACCAATGAAATTAGACATACCCACTTTTAATCTCACCAGGTCTTCTATTGTCAGGATCCTTGTGAAGAGAGATATCACTTTACCTGACATTGAAGAAGTTTGGTTTGGCACTGCACATAATAGGTACTGGCAACAGATTATCATGAAACGGAGACCATGTTATTGCACCCATCGTAAGATGTTTGGACACACACTTGAAAAATGCTTCAGGCTCCATTTTGATTTGAGACCCCAACCTCAAGTGCCTCACCTAACTACTCAAGAAGCACCTATTCCACCGGCTGATATGTTGACCTAAAGTGCCTCACCTAACTACTCAAGAAGCACCTATTCCACCGGCTTATATGGTGGAAACTGCAACTAGAGAGGATATTGCCACTGATTTTGCCCCAAAGGAGCACCCCTCGCTACCTCAACCCCTCATGTTTCTGAAAATGAGGATAATCTCATTTTGGCGCCTGATGATGCTCCATATGCCACGAAAACAATTATTGCTGATGTTTAGGGCCCTCAAACCCTGGCGGAGGGAAAAGTTCAAGGTGATCAACAGGTAGAAATTGCTCCCATTAATGATCAACTCAGTGATAAGTTGGAACAACCCTTGGAAGATGATTTGCAAGTTTACAAAACCGGGAAGAAGAAAAAAGGACTAAAAGAACTCATGGATTTACAGGAGGACGCTTTGCTCGTTTCGGATGGAAGCCCCCATCACAGTTTGGTGCTCGACTCCCGCTCTAGATCCAGGGAGAGAGGAAAGCCCACTCATCATAATTAAGCTCTCTGGTGGAATTCTGCTCCTCCTGAGTAGCCCGCAGAACATTTTTATCTTTTTGGGGAAATTGTCTCTATTTGTACATTTTGGTTATTTTTTTAGTTGTGAGTTCCTAGGACCAGCTCACTAAAACATTTGTATCTTCTTCCCATCAATGAAAAAATTTTAGCGACACAGCGACACAGCGACACAGCGACACAGCCACACACACACACACACACACACACACACACACACACACACACACACACACACACACACATATATATATATAAAACTCGAGTCAATGAAATTTTTATTTTAGCGAACTCACACACACACACACATATATATATATATATATATATATAAAACTCGAGTCAAAATGAACCAAACATGATAGAACAAACTATTTGTATTCGACTCACGCCAAACACGATAGAACAAATATCTATTTGTATTCAGCTCGTTTGCAAATCGAGCTAAAAAATTTGTTAGTGTTCAGCTCACTCAACGAATGCATCGAACATGAGCTAGTTAACAAGTAGCACATGAGTTGTTCGTGAATGACGAGCTATTTTGATAGAACCCTACGTGCTTATATTGTTTTTTTCTCATTCCTTCCAGCCATATCCACAATTTCAAGCAAAAAGCATTTGTCGCCTCACAGCTCTAACCTCTACAATAATGGTATCCCGGTTCAAGCAACAAAAGTTTACAAAATTGGTTCCAAATTACTAGGCAACATTGCTTTTGCAGACTCCTTGAGAAGAAGAGTGTCAATAATCTAAACCTTTGGGTCAAATTGCATGGAGGCCATGTTGTCGTGGAGCGATGAATAAACTTGCCCTAGAAAGTTGAAGGTTGTTTATGTTGAAGATTTTTGAAAGCCTTATCAAGGAGTAGTGGATAATTGTTGATTGGGGAGGAGAAAATATTCTAGCCACGACTTCTACAACACCACAAGAAGTTCGCCTGTTGTTGAGGATCTCAAGGAAAACAGTGATGACAATATAAGGGTATGTCTGCAGCTTACCCAGCTTATCTTGGTAATCTGTTGATCAGCAGTTTATCCTCATAAGTTGGTTAGTTGTTTGGATTTTGTGTTTCGAAAACAGCTAATTTTGGATAAATGACCATTCTGCCCTTGTTCTGGATAAGCTATTTAGCTGTTTAGTTTGTGTTTGAAAAATAGCTGATTTAAAGTTTTTTGTGGATAAAAGGCCATTTTGACAAGCGTTCTGTTGTTGTTTACACTAAAATTTTAACGGCTACACATTTGACAGTTCAGAACAAAAAATATCATTTCATAACAATACAAAATTATGATAATTTCAATAATTTTATTTAATTATAAAAAAGTCAAATTTGTTCTTAATAGTGACAAATGGAGGTTATCGCACTTAGCTCAACTTGAGAAGAGTTCCAATGTTCAATAGTTCTCCCAACAACAAGTAGATCACCGTTTTCGTCTCGAATAACCAAGCCAATGCCACCTGAGTAGGATGGGAGAAGGGCCCCACCCACATTAATTTTCAACCGACCTGGAGGGGGAAGGGGGGTGCCACCAAAAGATGTATGAAACAGTCTAGGGGGTGTCATCTTACTCAACTATCTTCTATCTCACTCACTTTATATCATCAAGGCGTACTTTACACTCACCTTCATAATTGTTTTCTACAAACATTTCTAATTATGTGGAAGAGATTACTTCTTGTATACTCATTCACTCACTTCCTACATAAAACCAAAGCAATGAATAAATTAGGCCAATCACTTGTTCTAAGTAGATCAACACTTCTTCATCCACAATTATTAAACATATAGTTAACATCCACAATAATCAAAGTCTGTCAAGCACTTGAATTGTTGCATTCCACATAAGATGTATGGTTATAAGATGTTCAATTCAAAACCTGGTGCATATTGAACTACAAATTAGTTTCAAAACAGAGGTATAATTTGGTATTGGCATTAAAACGGGAATTATGTTGCATATATTTTAAATCATACCAAAAAAGATTTTTTTTTTCAGCCAAAACCTTTAGTTCTCTTAGATTATAAAGCTAGCTTTTTTGACTTTTAAGTAGGATTTATCAAATTATATTAGAGCTACAGGTTGAGAGAAACAAGCCAGAGGATGTGTTGTATGAATGAAACAAGTGGGATATAGTTGTCTACTTATTCGAAAAAGAGAGGGCTTGGTGATTTTTTTGGAAATAGCAAGATCAATTGATGATCTATGGCAAACCATAGAGGACAACAAATCGATAATTTTCAATAAGAAATAACCAGATAGAGATTTACAAAAGAAATGTAAATGGTTATGGCAGCAACGAAGAATGCGAAGAACTTAAGTTGAAAGAACGCCACTGATTTGACTAGCAATTCCCTGGACCACTCGCCAGAGAGAATATTCAATATAGTCGGCGCTCACATTGTCAGGGTATCCCTCCGGCAGCATTAACCTGAAAAAAAGTTCCTGGCATCGCTGCCAAAAGATCCACACGAATCGTTGACCTAGCAAACTAGAAGAGAAGGTGTTTCCGCCTCGCTCTCGGCCCTCGACAACAAAGGAATCGCAAGGGAAGAATCGTAGGGGAAAAATCGTAGGGGAAGAATCGATCCAATGGAACGATAGAGAGGAGTAGGCGAGCACGAAATCGATCCAGGCGAGGCGAATCGCAGGGGAAAAATCGCAGGAGAACGAGGGTAGTATCGGGATCGGGAGACAAAAACACGGGACGTTGGGTCGTATCCACATTCGGCGTCTAATATATTTTAAAAACGCCGTTTCCTGAAACACACGCAAAACGCTCGAAACAAACGCCTTCACAGCATTTTGAAAACGCACAAGCGGCAAATAAGTTACCCCAAACACACCCTAAGTTTCAATCTTTTTAATTAGAAATCTGCATCTCTTATGTTGTGTTGATCTATAAACACTGTTAGTATAAGCCATTAATCTGTCACTTATTCTAGAATTTTAATATCGTTGCAGTATTTTTGGGTCTTGAATATATGTTCTGCTCTTATCTACAGGAAAAAATTGGTCATTGCATTATTTTTCTTCTATCTATTTTTACATCAAGAAAAAAAATTACCACCGACAAATTACAAGTTAGATCTGAAACAGAGAATGTTGAGATCTTAACTACTAGGGCCGGCTAATTCACTTATATTTTTTTCTCATTGAAAGCTTGGCAAAATTCTTAATAAAACTTTGATATAATCAATTTCAAGGAACAATGCAAATGAAACAATTGTGAATTTTGCACAAACAAATTCTTCAGAGTTCATGAAAATTGAATTGAAAGAATTGAAACCACCTTTCTGAAGGAACTGGATGAGCTTATTAAGAAGAAGCGGGCTGAGAAAACCAACTCCATCATTTACTATCTGCAATAATTTTAAACAAGATCATGGCTTAGGCTGGCAGGCTGTGCATCTAATTTAAGCTCAGAGAAGAAAAGATCAAGGCTAGTACGTGTTTGGGAATTTAATAAGTAGCAAAGACACCGAGTAATATGTGGTCTCCAGATTTGAATGTATGTAGATGAAAAATTATACACCAAGCAATTTAAGTTAACTTTTAGATGAATTTTTACAATCTTCAGGGAAATTTGGATAAGACTTCATAATTTAGTAGAAGGCATATCAATGAAAATTAAAATGAATCGAGAATTTCAAAACTGGCTATAAATGTATAGAATGTTGCAGATACTGTTAGAAAAATATAATGAATATAATCAAGTGCAGGGAAGTACATGATGAAAATATTTGAGGTGCCTGCTGACATAAAATTGATCTAATTTACGGCAGAGGAAAGCAGGTCTGTTATCTAGCTACTTCTGCAAGCTTAAGCTCGTGAAGCCGTAATAGAATGGATTACAATCCACTATAAGCTTAAGCTCTTGTAAGTACAGTTAAATTTCATATATATAACTTCTAGGAAAATTTCAATGGCTTAATTTTGAAAACTCAATTTTGCTTATTTACATAAGTTTTATATGACGTTTATAAATTATTTTGGCTATCACAAGAAGTGCTTTGGCAAATTTAAGTTTGGAATGTTCAATTTTGGTATTTTTATATTACGCTATTCCGCAAATGTTTGCTTGCTTTATATAAACCTCAATACTTAGATTTGCGAGACTCTTAAACATAAATAGTTCAACTTATTTTTCCTGTTCAAACACACTCTATCTTCATCTGTCTTAATGATTCAAATGATAAACCTATTTTCTGCATAAACTAGACTAAGACACCAGTCCAAATTCCATAATCTATTTGCAATCATCAAAATCAAAGGCAATGGAGTCAGCAAAATCTTAATAAAGCATTTATATAACAATGTTTTTCTTGGCTACCTTTAAAAAAAAAAAATTAAAACAACCGTTTGTTGCACATTGAACAGCCTACTAGTAATGTAAGATTTGATAGATAAATCCAAAAAAACAATAATAGTTGGCTGTTTTAAGTGATACTCTTTACACCTGAGATCAAACCATAAAAAGGTCATCCAGTTCGAATGGAGAGAACGATTTACGTCCTCTTCTCCATTTAAAATAAAATAAAATGTTGGTGCAAGAAAAGCATAAAATATTACTAATGAGTTAAGCGCCAAACTAGTCCCAACTATTTTACATATGGTCATTTGAGTCCCACATTATATAAAATATTAAATTAGTGATACTGTTCTAGAGCTCCTAGAAGGTGTTTAGGAAGCGCATGTAATGGGAAGGTGGTTGTGAAGTGGCGGAGAAATGATAATATGCGAGTTTGACGGCTTTTAGATAGGGTTCGGCATCGATCAGTGGCTGCCCCTGCTGAACAACAAAGTAAACTCCGAATCGGCAATGTTTGGGTGGCGAAGAGGTTCTGCCACCTGTTCCTGAGCAAGATACAGAGATACCGCTTACTCCAAAAAGCATAAAACAAAGAGCAACTTCACTCGAACACAATAATATTAGTCAAACTTGTCCAAACCACAAAAACACACATAAAAAGTCACCTAATAGAAATAAGCTAATAGGAAATAAGAAAATAGGAAAGAAATAGAAAAGTAAGAAAATATTAGAAAAATTTTATCGGGATTGCATCAAGGCGGGATGTCATCCCACGATCACGAGGAATCACAATCCCACAAAAATGTCAAAATGAGGGAGTCTACATCCTGCAGGAAGGAGAGCGTCCCTTGTCACTCTCCTCAGATAAGAGAGGCTTCTCCTTCTCCGGAAGGACCCGAATGCCACTGTCGGACATTATTTCTCACAAAATACTTACAAAGATTTTCAAAGTTGTGCTTCACTCTTATTTGATCATCAGATTGCGACGACAATGCTGAACTGAATTGGAATTTAATACCCAGCTTACCCCGTGTAGTCTTCCATAAATAGCTTAAAAGCTTCTCATCTCTACAGGTTGAACCTCCCTCAGCAGTGCCAACTTAGGAGATAGGTTGTCTAAAGAACCCGAAATTCTCTTGTATGAGATTATAATGTGTTTGGTATTGACTTCTCAAACTCAAGGCCCACTCAAACAACCAATGTCAGTTATACTGATGCTCCTCTTAAGACTTGCAAAAATGTAATTTGAGGTACCATATCCTTAAACTCTGTATAAACGCTCATTACCTCATATTTAATTATCACAACCCGACCCGGTTCTTAGAATTAACCCAGGCAAGTGCAGACGGCAGATGGTGTGAATTAAATTTTCTATATTCGTCGACATTTTAATAGAAGAAGCCATTACAAATTTAAACTAATTAAAATTACCTCGTTGATGATTGTTCGCGTCTTCTATAAATATTTTCTCGTCTATCACTCATCTTTTAATATTTTATTTAAACTTAAAAAGTCAATTAAAACAAATGTGAGCTAAAAGAGCCGGTAAATACTCTTACTTTTAAACTATTATTATTATTAACATTATTATTAAGTTTTAATTATTAAATCAAATTAACATATATTTACCTCTCTGAATCTTCTCCTTCCTCCGCACGAAATCGATCGAGGTTTCTTCCCCTGCACAAGAGGCTCGGTTTGAATGATTCATCACAACCTCTCTTCTTCTCATCACTCGGCTAGGACACAATCAACTCTTCTCCTTCGTCTTCCTCTTCGAATTGGCAAGGGAACGAGCCTTCGGCTCTTCTCACGCACCTCACACTGCCGCGCTCGACCTTCCAAGCCACCGCCTTCTTCCTCCTCTGTGTGACGCTGATGTCGCTACACTACTTTTCTCGGCACAACAAGTAAGTGGTTATGCACCTTAAATAGGCAAAATCATTTCTTCAACTTTTCGATCTTGTTTCCTCTCCCCCTAGTTTCGTTTGCCCGGTCCGCTTCTTCTCCTTGAGTTGTTTGTTTCCTCTCCCTTGACCAATTCATTGTTTCCTCTTCCATCTTTGTTCCTTCATTTTACCCGTTTCTCCCCCTCTGTGTACAGTACCGTTACAGTCTTCCCCACTTACAAAAATTTCATCCTCGAAATTTATAATCAGACCTCAAGCATGTCAACATTTGTTATCCACGAAATTAAGAGATATATGAAATGTAATCACCTATAAGAATAAGGACTCGGTAACAATACATAGTTGCTGAAACAAGGGAGTATGCTAAGAAACACACCAAACTCATATGACCTCGTCACCTTCCGCAGCAGTGGGTTCTTCATGATCACTATGAGTGAGAGAATATACCAGAGGTCGAACATGTCGCCTTGGCTGGCCTTGGGTAGCAACTGAGGCTATTGATTATCATTTTTTGCCTACCTGTCGACCTCTATGAAGTGGTTTCACCTGAATTCTAATCTTCAGAGCTATTCTAGCTAAGAAATGTATAATATCTTGTTATATGACCAAACTGACGACACCAATAGCAAGTGTTAGAGCACATCAAACATTGACCTTCAAATTTTAAAATTTTCTTATAATTAACCCATTGGTTCTTTCATCAAATTCCAATTAGTTATTCTTAAACATTGGCCTCTGATACCACTTTTGTCGCATCTCAACCAGGGCTTGGAATTAACCAAGGCGGGTACAGACGGTCAAGCAGTGTGAATTAAATTTTCTATATTCGCCTACATTTTAACAAATGAAAGAGCCATTACAAATTTAAATTGAAGTAAAACAACAAAAATTACCTCGTTGATGATTGTTCATTTCTTCTTTAAAAATTTTCTCGTCTAAGCTCGTCTTTTAATAATTTAATTAAACCTGACAAGTCAGTTAAAACAACTGTGAGTTAAAATAGTCAGTGAATATTTATACTTCTGAACTACAGCAATATAAGAGAAAAAAAACAATATAAATGTCAGTTAAGCTTCTTTACAAATCAATATAAACATTTGACATGTTATTCAAAGAGGTTTATATCATTATCATATCAATATCATTTCATATTTATACAACTCTCACAAGAGGCACCGTCTAAAATTTGGTCAATTAAGACAAATCAATATTAATATCCAATTTAATTTACGTGCACGGGTACATTAGTGTTCCTCACTAGTATCATCAATGGGTGTTTCATCATAGTAAGTCATGCACATACAAACATATTATAAATCATTTCATGTTTATTATAAATAACATGTGTGTATTAAATAAGTATAACTATGCAAATCATTCACATTCATTTCAAAATGATCAAATTGAATAATAAGTCAGAATAATCATATTTTAGTTACAGAAACAAGATATCTTGGCTAATGACATTTTAACGTGAATGATTTAGATGAAATATAATATTATTACCATAATTTAGAAGTAAAAGTACTCACCTCGATGACACTTCATTCAATAAAATGAAAACCTAACATAAACATGATATAAAATTTAATATATTTATTATTTTAAGTAACTATTAACTTTTTATTATTATTTAAGTATTAAATTTTCATTATTTTATTATGTTTTTTTTTCCAATATATATTATTATTATTATTATTATTATTAAGTTTTAAATATTAAATCTAAATTAACATATCTTTACCTCCCTGAATCTTCTCCTTCCTCCTTCGCACAAAATCATCTGCGGCTTCTTCCCCTACACAAGAGAGGCTTGGTTCGAATGATTCAGCACAACCTCTCTTCTTCTTCGTCACTCGGCTAGGGCACGATCGACTCTTCTCCTTCGTTTTCTACATCAACTCGGCTAGGGCACGAGAATTCAGCTCTTCTCATACGCCTCACACTTTCTCGCTCGACCTACCACGCCGTCGCCGCCTTCCTCCTCTGTGTGACACTGATGTCACTACACTACTTTGTTCGACTCAACAGGTAACTGGTTATGTGACTTAAATAAGTAAAATCACTTCAACTTCTCGATCACGTTTCCTGCCCCCTCGTTTTGTTTGTCGGGTCCACCTCTTCTCCTTACAACTGTTTATTTCCTCTCCCTCCCCCAATTCATTGTTTCCTCTTCCATCTCTGTTCGTTTCTTCGTCTTTGTTCCTTCGTTTTACCCGTTTCTCCCCCCCCCAACCCTCCACGTACAGAATCATTACAATCTTCCCCACTTACAAAAATTTCATCCTCGAATTTTATAATCAGACATCGAGAATGTCAACATTTGTTATCCAAGAGATTAAGTCATATGAAATATAATCACTATAAGGATAAAGACTCGATACAAGGCGACTCAACTATAATTCAGATAACAATATATAGTTACTGAAACAAGGAAGTACGCTAGGAAACACACGAAACTCATTAGACCTCGTCACCTTCCACGGCAGTAGGTTCTTCATGCTCACTATGAGCAAGGGAATATACCTAAGGTTGAACCGATCGTCTTGGTTGACCTTGGGTAGGCGCTGAGGCTATTGACTCTATCATTTTCTACCCACTTGTCGACCTCTACGAAGGAGTTCCACCTCATTTTTGATCTTCAGGGCTCTTTTGGCTAAGAAATGCACAATATTTTGCTATATGACCAAGTTGACTGCACCAATAACAAGTGTTAGAGCCCATCAATCATTTGCCTTTAAATTTTAAAATTTTCTTATAATTATCTTATTGACTCTTTCATCAAAATCTAATTAGCTATTTTTAAACCTTGTGCTCTAATACCACTTTTGTCGCAACCCGGCCCAAGGCTTGGAATTAACTAAGGCAGGTACAGACGATCGGACGGTGTGAATTAAATTTTCTATATTTGCCTAGATTTTAACAAATGAAAGTGTAATTACAAATTTAAATTAAAGTGATACAATCAAATATACCTCATTCATGATTGTTCATGTCTTCTACCAATATTTTATTGTCTATCGCTCATCTTTTAATAATTTAATTAAACCTAACAAATCAGTTAAAACAACAATGAGCTAAAAAAGTCAGTGAATATTCATGCTTTTAAACTGCAGCAATATAAAAGACAAAAAAATAATATGCATGTCAGTTAAGCTTCTTTGTAAATCAATATAAATATTTGACATGTTATTTAGAAGGGTTTATATCATTATTATATCAATATCTTTTCATATCTATACAACTGTCACAGGAGTCACCGTCTAAAATTTGGTTAATTAAGACACATCAATATCAATATTCATTTTCATTTACGTGCACGGGTACATTATTATTCCCCACTAGTATCATCAAAGGGTGTTCCATCATATTCAGTCATGCACATACAATTTTATGTTCATTGTAAATAATATGTGTAGTAAATAAGTATATCCATGCAAATCATTCACATTGATTTTCAAATGACCAAATTGAATGATAAGCCAGAATAATCATATTCTACTTACACTAATAAGATATCTTGGCAAATGACATTTTAATGTGAATGATTTAGAAGAAATGCAATATTATTACCATAATTTAGAAGTAAAAATACTCACCTCGATGACACTTGATTCAATAAGCTTTTGCCCAGCGTCGACTCTTCTAAAATAAAAACATAACATAAACATGATATAAAATTTCATTTATTTATTATTTTAGATAACTATTAGCTTATTATTATTATTTAAGTATTAAATTTTCATTATTTTATTGTTTATTTTTCTATTCAATATATTATTATTATTATTATTATTAAATCTAATTTAACATATTTTTACCTCTTTGAATCTTCTCCTTCCTCCGCACGAAATCGACTGCGGCTTCTTCACCTACATTTGGATGGCAAGGAAATGATAATATATGAGTTCGACGACATTCGGATGAAGATCAACATAAAATGGCAATTGTCGTGGCTGAAACAGTAAAGGAAACTCCAAATTGATGATGTTCAAGCGGCGAGGAGGTTCAAGCACCAATTTCTGAGTAACATATAGGCAACACTTACAAAAAGAACAGATTTGGCACTCTAAAGAGCATAACAGTCAACAACATCTCCAAAACATAATAATGATTGAAAAAGTTGTCCAAACAATAAAATCACACACATAAATAGTCTCTTAATAGAAATACTCTAATTAAAAATAGAAAGTAGGAAAGAAACAAAAAAAGAACAATAAATATTGCAGAATTTTGATCGGGCCTACATCCAGGCAGGATGTCATCCAGCGACACGGGAGGATTCGCGATCTCATGAAACTGCCAAAATGCAGGAGTCTTGCATCCTGTGGGAAGGAGAGCGTCCCGCGTCAATTATTTCCTATACACTTTTAATGGGGGCCTAAAATAGTCTTCACTAGGGACTATTACAGCCCATATCAAAAAAATTTTGGAACTAAAATGACATTTTACAAACTCTAGAACTGAAGTGGCCCCTGCAAAAAAGTCAGAAGACCATTTTAACACTTGTCTCTATTACTAACTTAAGATTCTCATAAGATTTTTAGATGTTAACAAACAAGTATGATAGAAAGAGTAGCATTTATCTATCATTCACTATGGGAGATAAAAGAAGAATAAAACAAAATAAAACTACCTTAAGCATTCCTAGCCTCAAGTAAGGCCAACCATACGCATGAAACATGGCTCTTAACAAAGATCGATCAGTGTTAGGCATACATTTTACAGCCATCCAAAACCTTAATAAGGAATTATGACAAGAAGGCACAAGTTCTGAAGGTAACTGAATTAAATCTTCAAAGTCAAGCTGCTTTTGCACACCAAGATCCATCATTGAGTTGACAAACTTAAAAGTCAAGGTTTCCCAAAAGTTACAGATTTTCCGTTCCTGTAAAAGTAAGGAAAAAGGAGATATACCTCAGTGAGGGGTGAAAATCGAAGACAACCGAATTGAACATTCAAAGAAATAAAAATTTTCTTCAAGTTCTCAGTTGTACAAATGAAACGAATAAACTCAGGTCCTCAACTTATCAGAGAAGCCAACCAATCCTACATTAAGCATATTTAAGTTGAATCATTTACAAGATGTGTAATGTGAAATGTGCATAAATACGGACAACCATGAGTTATTTGTGGCATCCCCATTTATGCATATCTATTCTTAAGACATTCCTTGTAACTTATATAATTTTAAGAATGTTTACTTCTATTTACAGAAACTATAGCAGATACTTGAAGAAGTTAAAATTTCCAAATCTTATGACTTTATAGTAGCTCAATAATAATAATAATAATAATAATAATAATAATAATAATAATAATAACATAAAAAAAATCATAACATGTTTCTCAAATTTAGTTATGATATTTTAAAATTTTTTAAATTAGATGGAATTTGATTCAAATATTACTATATATATCAAAAGAAATCTAATAAAAAATAATAGTAAAATATATTAACAAAACATTTGTTAATTTGCATTAACCGAAACCGAACAAGAGATGGGGAGAGGTAGTATGAGACAGATAAAACCAAGATCTGCCATTTATTAAAAAAGAAATTTTGTTGGGGTTTTCATTATCAAACCCAATAACACATGACTAGGATTGGAGTAGATGACTAGCACTACATCATTAGTCACTACCTCAGCATCTCTGCTTCAAAAACAAAGATCCATATGAATGGATTCATCACAATTTTAGAAAATTTTGAACGGAGGCCAACTAAATTTACTTATCATGATTGCAAATTATTTGTGAATATAAAAAAAAATTAAGTGATGTTTGTCCTCAATAGAGTCCAGTGGCAATCAACATGGGGAAAAAAGAAAAGAAAAGTACATTCTCACAACCGCAATAGCCCCAAAATACACAGAATGTCAAATATATTTTATTTTTATTATAAACTTGCTGCAGCTTTCATCCAAAAAATATACAATGCATAATACATGAATAACAGCGTATGCCTTAAATGCCACCTTGGTTAATGGAAAGAAGAAAATCAGTAAAAATGTGCATGAAAATAATAAGGAATAAATTAATAAAAAAAATTTATGTAAAAAATCATATAACCATTAACCCAATAAAGCCAATCAACAACCAATAGAAGAAAGAAGCAATAACCATAACTCTGTCACCAAAGACATACCAAACCTCCTGTTGAATCTTTACTTTCAGAATTGCTGGAGATAAGTGGATCCTCAACAGAATTCAAACTCCTGAGAAAATCACAAAGCTTAATATATTTTAGCATGAATTATTACATTCTCAAAAAATTCTAAACAGGAATGGTGAATATTAATTTTCTGTAAGTACCACTTCAACGTATACTAAACAAACTACTTAATTAGAAGTGGAGACTAGTTATAAATTAGGGGCAATTACATACATGCCACCCAATTCCAATTTATTTACATATCTAATAACTAAGCTTTGCTTTTTTACATTTATAACACCCAAATCTTTCATATCACATCAAAAATACCATTATATAAACTTTTAAAAAGTGAAATACAGCATTTCATGCATAGGTAAGGTGGCTTATATGTAAAAATTGAAGTTTGTGTGTGGTATGCATGCAATATTCCTAAAAATTAATGACAGTTCGGATCTCTATTCCTTGTTTCCCCCTCATTTCACAATACATTTGACAGTTATATAAATTTGTTAGTACTCTAATGATGTTCTATACATAATTATCGCAGTGCTAGCCTCAAACAAATATATCTTTTCATGGAAATAATTATTAGTTACTATTGAAACGACGATAATCCTCACAAGCTCCAAATGATAAGACATCCTCCTGAGTGCAATGGTTCATTACTCCATGTCCTGTGCTCCTTACAGCAATAGCATCAAATATACAGTAAGGCCAATGATTTCTTCCCATAAAAAATAAATATAATAAATAAAAAAGCTAATTGCTCGAAAATAATTTTCTCTTATAAATTTGAGATCATAGATGAAATATGGTGAAGAAATGGATAGTGTCTCATATTATTCACCAGAAGAACTAATTTCTCGATGATGGCCGTGTTGATCTATGATTTCAACCGGAAAGGTTAATCTTTAAAATCAAGCTTTTCAAAGTCAGTAACTAATATGCAAAGCAAAATTCAATCATTAAAAGCAAAATCAAATTCCATCCACCCTCCGCAATAGTTTGTCGAGGGCAACAAATTTTTTATTGACTTCAGCTTACAAAGCTCGAATGTCATATCAAATACATCTCTATATTCACAATCAAATTATTGCGTGGCCCGAGTCCTCTGTCCGTGTGGTTTTGCCACCAAATGACACCACAAAGTAGTGGTTACGATCAGAACCTGACCGAGTAGCTGCCGCCAAATGGCACCATTATATTACGATCACGGCTGCAGCTCGTATGTTCCCCAACAACTTTCTACCCTTTGAGTTGTGAATCATAAGAGTACAATTGATTGACATAAAACATTTTGTTGGCTAAGGTTGACTTAAATTTGTCCTCTTTAATAAACAACCACCCCAGATCTACAAGAATCTCTTGGACGATGCAACCCATGACTGCTAACAAGAATCATTCTGTCAAGTTGGGTCAACTACCTCCTCTAACTAAGTAGATCAGGAACCTCGACGAACCGGGATGACGGAACCATGAGATCTTAATCGGGTTTCGTATTTATTCCCTAACTTCAAGCTTTAAGTAGTGAATTCTACAGTTTAAATCCTAAGTTTATTGCTAACATATGCTCAATTTTCAATTCATAATAACTAGCCTTAATCAAAAGTATTCTCCCATTATCGAGAAGAATAATTAACTATTGGGGTTTGCGTCTATGGAAAACCTCAAATCCTATATCAAAAAGTCACCGCTCAATGAGGGCAAAATCACTAGGTAGTATCTTATCTACAATCCAATCTGTATTTTGAAAATTCGACCCTCCAAAGCTCTCTCAAAATAAAATAAAAATAAATTGCAGAGAGTTGTCTTAGGGAGCGGTCGTGAATTTTTAGAGCCCACACATAATCATGTTCAAAAACTTCGCAAGAATTGTAATATGAGGGCAAACCACAAATTTTATTTTTTGCCAAAAGCCATGACAAAGACTGCCAATCTAAACCTCTAAAACCAAAGGAGCGGAAAAGTTTATCTCAACAAGAATATGGGTTATAGACAGTTTCAAGTATCGCAATGGCAACATTCGTTATTACTGATTTGCCAAAAATTAAACTAAATGTGTACAATGTGGATTCATTTTCAAGTAGTGGGCCCAAATGTGAGAAAACAATCCTAACAAGGTTGATCGGGTGCTTCTTACAAGTGTGAAGATAAGGAGACCAATTCAACATATACATTTGAAGAACATTCACATAATAAGAATTCCAAGAGATAACTCTAAAATATTACCCTACCCTTAGCCCCCCAATGCAAGCAAGCCATAAGATTTGAGCCTTTATCACCACTAATAATTTCCTACATTTTCTATCAAGGCTTTTTTAAAAAAAATTTATGGACCACAAGTTTATTTAACTATCCAAACGGTTAGTTTTTGTGGCAAATTATGAACAATTATGAAAAACAGCCCACTTCTTCAACCAAATAATTCCCACCCGCTTTGTGGCAGTTCATCCTTCAACAAAGAAGTTAAGCAATAAGAATCTAGACCAGAGCCCTGAATATCCACCACCTGCTAGCAGGTAGTGCATTAGATAATTTGACTCGGAGAGTCTAAAATAGGTTAAATTTGTCTAAAAAGTTAAAAATAATGACAGATTGTTGAGATATAATTAAAACCTTTTACATCAAACAAGCTCCATTTGAACAAGCTTATTGAAAAACTATTTGGCCAATCAACTAATGAGAATATCTCATTTTGGGACCAGGACCCGGCACATATGAATGTATACATGAGTTAAAAATTTTAAAAAAAAATCACGAAAAAATCTAATTTTGATCCCTAAAGCTTGATAAAGTAAATATGCTAACAAATGTATAGCATTGCAAATTTTATATTTCAATTTGTCTTTATCGATCTGCAAAGCTCCAAGCAGTCCCTTTTTTTTCTTTTTTTTTTTTTTTTGTTGACAGCAAGAACCAAAAAGGTCTTTATGGTAGTTCTTAATATCAGTTATTAACCCCTCCAAAAAAATAAAAAGAAATATAGAACCCTTTGATGCAGATTCCTCCGAATGCAATCCCACAGAGCAATGAAGCATGACCACTTCTAAAGAGTCATCATGTTCAGAAACTGTTATAAAAACTTCAACATTCAAACACGTGATGACACCATGTCAGCCACATTGGCATGCCTTATTTTCCAAGTTTCTGAAAATATTTCAACTCATTTTAGACACTTCATACATAGCGAACACATGATATATATTGCACTGATCGTCATACTTGATTTAGAAGTCCTATGACCCAATGAAAACTATGATTTATCACAATCTTTTCATATTTAATTTAGAAGTGTATTTTAAATTACTAGTAACAATTTTATATAATTAAAATTCAAATCACTAAGTAATTATATAAAACATGAGTACTCAACCATTCCAACAATAAAAAGTAAATAAGCACGCACTATGCCATGAAGAATCACTTGGATTAAAAATGTGTTGAATAGCATTCATAGAACAAAATAATGTGCACAGTAGAACTTCAAGAAGCTTAGAATTATTTGTGCTACCTCATAACATTTGATGACTGCATTGCTTTAAGCATGGCAATAAAAATACCAAATAAGATTTCAGCAGCAACAGATAAAACCTCCATAAGATGAGTTATGACCTATAATATAAGATATAAATTAAGCATTGCACTAGTATATAAGACAGTGAATGTCCAAATAACATGCATTAAAGTTTAATACAACTTATTTATTTTCATTAATTGCCTAAATTGGGACTATACGAGTTTTAATTCTAATGATTCCAATTTCAGAATTCAAAATCATAAGAAAAAGAAAGTATGGAGGTTGTAAATCATATATAATAATTTTCTTCAATTTTTCAGTTAGATGACTCTTCTTCTATGTACAATGTAAACGCAAGGAAAACATATTTAATTTATAATTCTCCTCTTGTTAACGCTAGACTTCTTTCCTTCTTTAAATAAAGTTTTCTAGTTTAAGTCTATTCCTATCTATGATTATCTTCATTTTGATGAACTAAAAATGAAGAATTTTTCTTCCACATTTTAATGCTCTAGGCTTTCTTAAACATTATAAAAACAGGTTTTGAATGCCGCCAAAGAATGAATAATCGAAAGTTTTAAAGCCTTTAACTTTCCATAACTGGCGATTAACATCAAAGGATATGGCAAAACCAAGTATAAGAAAATTACGATAGCACAGAAATTGATTTTCTGAAGTCATACCTTCGAGGAAGAAAACACAGTATGCAAATGGGGTATCTGGAGTAGAGGTTTTGCAATCCACCAAAAGCACAAGAAAAGATTACAAAGAGTGACGTACCAATTTTCAAATTTTGAAACAAGCACAATAACCACCTATGGAAAACAATAGTAATAATAATAAATATCAGCATTAAAAATTTAAACAATTTTATATATATTTATATATATATATATATATATATATATATATAGATTAAAAATTTGTATCACTTAAAACACTTCAATATCAATATCTTTTTTCATTTACGTGCACGGGTAAATTAGTGTTTCCCCACTGGTACCATCAAAGAGCGTTTCATCATAGCCAGTTATGCACATACAAACAGTCAACATAAACACATGTATTTGTCACATCCTTAAAAATTTACACAATTTTATATATATATATATATATATATATATATATATATATATAGATAGATAGAGAGAGAGAGAGGATAAACTCTAAGATACACCATTGCATCTCATCTATGAAATGAAAATTACTAATTGATTAAGTTCCATCAATTATTTTACCAATAATTTAATCACGTAAGAAACTAAGGATTATTGGATAACCCCTACAAGCCAATTTCAAAGTGAACATTTATCCACATCTTTAGCCATTTAAAACTATCCATTATTAGCAATGGAAGTAGCAAAGTAAGGTCATTTCTCATCCTATATTTATGTAATATCATCGTTACTGTATCCCCATGTTTGTATACATGCTCAATAACCAGTAATGGATCAGAGGTCATTTGGACAGCCAACACAAATCAATAAAAGAGTATGCATATAATTCGCAATTTTAACAAATTATTCTAATAGCAATACACCAAAGTGGGGGCATAGTGTCATTAATATGTTTGATTTATAAATATTGCCACTTCTGCTTGTGCCAGAGTAAGATGTTGGACAGCCTTGATGATAGTGTGATATATAAATGTGCCATTGTACTTGAGGCAACTTAGAGCCAAGGCAAGATGGTGCGGAGATAGGTTGGATAACTTGAAAACTAAGATTTATAAAAGATTAAAAGCATGCTTAACATGATTAAGATAAAGCAAGAAAATTTTCATAACTTCAATATAACAATAATAAGCCTTTGTGGTAAATAATAAAGAGGTTCAAGATCCTTTGTGGTAAAATGACACTTGAGGGCATGAACAAAGTTGATGATAGCAATCTAAGAATTGTATAAGAAACATGCAGAAGAATGTAGCTTAATAAAATTGTATAAGAAAACATAGCTTAGATGCTTAAAACCCAACTCAAAAAAAAAAAAAAAAAAAGAGAATCGATTTGTGTAAGCTAGGCACGTGAACTGTTTTTAGTTAAAAAAGAGACAAACATGAGAATGATATTGAGGGTACAAAAAGCATTTTTAAATCCAAAGTTCAAATAGCCTATCCACAAATAACAACAATAATAAGAATATATCAACACTACCATCAGGTATTTGTTAGTTCAAAAAACTCATTTACACCTTAAAACTCACTGTACAATTTCCAATATGCAAATAAAAAAAATCATACTTTGTTAGCAGTGAGTATAGAATTCAGTTGGCATAGCCTCACACGATTAAGTGAATTTAATTGCCACAAAGTAATAGGTCGGCTCACATTCATCAAAGGTAAGAGGTAATGAAGATTATCCAATGCAAAAGATAAGGTAAAGCGAGAGGACTGGAAGCGTAAGCAGAACTTAAATTATTATGGTAGACCAAAAGAAGCAAGTAAGAAAGTCTACTTGTAAAAAATATATATAGACATCCAAAATCCCTAAGCCCGCTGCTATCAGAATGATTTTCAAATAAAAGTTCAAACGAAAGCATTATATTTAGTCAAATAAGTAACTCCATCAATCGGAATGGACTCTCTCTCTCTCTCACACACTCTCTCACTATATATGTGTGTGCGCGCGCGCGCGTGTGTGATAATTGCATATAACATTTTAAGCAACTTACCCATGAAAATAATTGAGAAACTTTATAAAGCCACTCATGATACTCAGCTCTGTGACCCTTAAAGCTGCCCTCAATGAGCAAACAAATATTACAGAGGCAAAGACAGCCTCCAACAGCAGGAACCATGTTCAAGCACACTTTCTCCAAAACTCTGAGCTTCCAATTCTACAAAAAAGAAGTCTCCACAAATGTGATGATAATAATCACAAGAAAAATTAACATACTTAGCACACAATTCTTACATATTTACATATCTCACACCTAAACTTCCATATTTACATACATAGCACTTAGGTGCTTTAAACCTATGCATGAAAAGGAGCATTTTACTTTTAAATAAATGGTAATAGTGCTATCTTTTATGTGATATTAAGGATATGAGTGTTGTGTGTGTGAATATGCAAGTTTAGTTGTGAGATAAAAATACATGAAAAAGTCATTGAGAATACAGAAACAGAGTTTCACAACTAACAAATTCATGGAGCTAAAAAAACAAGGAGAGACGCAGCATTCTATAAATATTCTATAAAATATTATCCCCATCAATTAGAAATCTAAACCCACCATTATAAATGGCTTAGCTCTTCCAGCATTCCTCTTAGCCCATGCAAGGGCAACAACCGCAGATATACCGATTAAATTAGCTCCAAAACCTAAAACTGTTTCATAACATTAAGAACAAGCATCTAAAGAGTGAATACTGAATAAATAGAATTAAAAACCCCTTTGTAATCATTTAAGAAGTGTAACTAAACCCATTAAGGATATAAATTCTCAAAGCAGGAAGAAAATCCATTTCCATCCCAAACCTGAAAGCACAAGCATAAAATATGCATCAGACTTCAAATTTCTCTCCTCTTCGATTCAAATATCAAGGGCTTTATGCAGGGAATCCCGAAAACATGAAGGCGGAGAACAGACAAGTGATCAAACTGATGTTAATTAGCAGGTCAGAAAAAAAAACAGAAAAAAAAAAGGATTGCATCTGAGCTCCGCCAAAATGGAAATTTCCAAAGGTAAGAGCTGTACAGACGCAACAAAAAAATGGAAAAAGAGAACCGAAAATTGGCAATTTGGGTGCGTAGATTATTAGATGATAACGAAAACTAACGTAGGGCGAATTAGGGCAGAGGAGATCCATGAACGAGAAGGAAGAGCGGAGTTGGGCAGAACAGACTGATCCGAGCAGACTGATACGAGAAGGGTTTAGGAGCGAAAATAAATTAAATGACAACCATGGCTTAAATTATTCTTGGTGTTTTTATCCGATTATTTAAAATATTAAATATAATATTTTAATTATTCAAAAAATAAAATTTTACATTTCAATCATTCAAAATATTAAATTACGGGTCCCACGACCAACATTCACCGCTGGTCTCCGCGACATAAAGCAAATTCTGGGTATGAAGTACAGATCCTCTACAATTACAATAATATAATTTAGTTTATATTTACAATCACGACCGTACAATTATAAGCGAATGGTTTGATACTCTATCTTAGATAAAGATTGGCGTGCCGTGGATTTACGAATGGAGGTAAGATCAGCTGTCTTGCTCGCAATACCACACACCTCTTACCACTTATAGAATAGTATTGTTATTAACAAATTTTTAAAAAATATTAGATAGAAATTTTCTTACAACTATCAATTCTTTTATATTAAATTGTAAGAATAGTTTTCCATCATAGAATTAAAAAAAAATGTAAAAAAAAAATAATAATCAAATGCAGCTGTAATAACAGTTAGAAAAATAATATACTCAAAAAGTTGTTTTAAATGGAACAAAATATTACATACTATGTTTCTATGTGAGTGCGATCGTTGAGAGAAGCACATCACTCAATTACACGCTCGACAATTAGTCGTAATATTTTTTTTTCTCAAATAGATCGATTGTTTGATTAACCTATAACAATGCTATTGTAATGCTTCTGTATTATTGATCTCCTTAGCCTATAATATTTCAAAATTCAATAATAACAAATATATATTTGTTGTATACTCAGAAACGTCTTCACGCATAAATAATTTTTTTTTTCAAGGGCGTAAAGAGGCAACAGTCTTACGGGCTTCGAAAGCTCATATATAAAGATCGGGTCTTTATCGAGTTAAGCTCACCCGCTGAAATAGTTGAGCTAAGCCTACATGTCGAAGTGATCAAACTAAGCCCACATGTCCAAGTGGTCGGGCTAGCATGGGACAAACGAGTTGTTCGAAAAAAAAAATATTTTTAGCATTATTATTTCATAGTACAAGCATCAATCTTTATATATCACATTTTTTCATTAATATATCACGAACATGTGCAATACTGCAAGGAATGTAATTTTATTTTTCAATTTTCTAATGTAAAAGAAAGGTAAGAGGGAGTTTTCAGGGAAGTAGAGATGTAAATGAGTCGAGCTTAAGCGAGCCCAGGCTCGACACTTTTAAAAACCAAAATTTTGGTGTTAGAAATACAAATGCATAGAAAGTAGTGAGAATGTTACCATTTGTTAGAAGGATCATGAATTTTCTCCATTTTTGTGGCTAAAAAGTTTGCATTCTCCAATCTTTCCGGTCTACAAGTATCAAAAAAACATATAATTTATATTCTTAATTAGAAAGCTATATTTCTTTCTATATGGATTAGTATTTATTCTATTTCGGAAAAAGAACTAATGGGTTTCATAATACTATCTATACTAACCATAGAAACCTTAGATTACATATTGAGTGGTTGGGCTAGAGAAAAACGTTGTGCATGATGCAAATGCAAGCTATTAGATGTTAAGTTTGAGAATTATTTGATTCAATGGTAGAGATCAATGATTTCTATGATTGAATGATGGAGATCAATGTTGTTCATTGTACTTCTGACCATTTAGGTGTTGAATATAAATTTATATTAAAATAAGATTAAATGACATGGATTCCCCATCTAATTTTATTTCTATATTGTTCATCTTAACAATGTTTATTTTGTAACAATATGTTCACATCAGTGATGCATTTCTATAACTCTTATAAGGTATTTAAGAAATCAATTTTGAGGGGAGGGGGTTGTGGAACGACAAGTGGAAGAGAATATTCAAGTTTGATGGAGTTTAGATGGGGATAAATATTGCTCGGTGGCTATAACAACTGGAAACAACAAAGATAGAGTCAAAATAATGAGATACGGATAAAGAATCATCACCGTTCGTTTATACACAAGTTATAGATACACCACTTAGACAAGAAAAAATTCAGGCAGCTCATTAGCTGTCATTGTCTGCGATCCCGCGAAACCCAGAGGTCGCACAAACCACATAGAGAGGTGATCACGAAAATCTCATCCTCATGATCTGGTGTCAATCAGGAAAAAAAATTTTATCCGTACGTCCGCACAATCAACCACCGTCAGCCACGTCGCCCGCCTACGATATGCATTGCGACGTGACTGCCATTGGTTGGTCATCCTGACATTGAACAAAATAATTTTGGCATCAATAAGAGCTATAAAAAAAAGTTAGTTATTGATTAATCAGCTTAAATTAAAATTTTTAAGCTCATTTATATACAGAACTAAGTATCTTATTTGACCACGTTTGATTTGATAATACATATATATATATATATATATAATATATATATATATATATATAGTTTGGTACTTTGTGAGAAATTGGCAATAACTTCAAACACCTTTTATCAGCCAGACTATTTTATGCCCATAATGTGAGTTCAAACATTCTTACTATATAATTTAAATGTGCCCATAATTATATACACTCAAATTCACACTGAATAATAAAAAAAATATAGGAACATATGTATATTTTATAATTGAAGCATTTACATATATACCACCAAATTTATATGTATCTACATATCTAAGACCTAAACTTTACTTTTTATATTTATACCACCCAAATCTTTAATATCAATTAAAAAATACTACCATCTTTACACAGTTGCATGCACAAGGTGGTATGTACATAAAAATTTGAAGTTTGAAGTGTTATGTAAATACAAAGAAAGCTTTCAAATAAATTTTCATGTTTGCAAACTGCATCAATAAACAACTCAAACACAAATACAAAGTTTTGACTCTTTATTTAACAAGCCAAAAGCCTAACAACACTTCAAATTCACTCAAAATTCAGCTATTTTACACGGCCACTCACAGCTACAAATCATAAAAATTATGACAACAAGCAACATTAATACATAACAAACTAATAAAACATCAGACAACAGAAAATCAGATCAAAGTTCTTTAATTTGCAGTAAATTTGAGAATGTTTCTTAATGCTTTCATGAACCGAACCTGAATAAAGTTTGTTTTACTCCATTTGCTGCATCTCTCAGTATTTGATTTAAGAAGAATTCTTGAGAACCCATTCCACCAAAGTTGATACACCAAACCCTGTGGCAATGCGCTTCTTATCATTCCAAACTGGACCAGCAACATCTATATGCATCCACTGGACCTTTTCATCCACAAACTGCCAAGAAAAAGAGAAGAATTTTAGAAGAACTTCCATTGAAGTAATTGCAACAATTTTTTTTTTAATTTACATTGTAGTGATTGCTAAGTTGTGGGATAAATTATTAGGTGAGGGTTAGATTGCATAATTGTGTAACTCAATATATACTCTCTATTTTATTGAGGTACATTTTTTATTTAACATTTACCTATTACCTAGCTCTCCACCTTCATAGCAACGATTTTTTTATTCCATGACCACTCGGTCTGCCTTCATTCCGTTACAACATGATCCTCCACCTCTCTAGAATATTTGTTGCACGTGTATTCCATTATATAATATATATATATATATATGTGTGTGTGTGTGTGTGTGATGGCGATTTCGGTCGAGAGCTCTGCTAGGGCTTCCGATGGCGATTTCAGTCGCATTTAATTTCACTGCTCGAAAGAGAGGGGATCCCAACACGTTTCGTTAACTCTCGCTCTGTCGGCTAGCGTATGTGTCGACATCTGGTGATTTCGTCGCAGATTCGTTGCTTGCGTCGCGTGTTTGCGACTCGCTTTCGACGCTGCGCCTTCTGCGTCTGCGCCCGATAGTTTGTTTCGACGACGCTGCTTCTTCTGTCGCGCCTGACAATTTCTCTCCCTGCCCGACACTCTTCCTCTCTACGTTCAGGCAGGTGAGCGTCGACAAGTCTCCTTATTCTCATGGCTCTTCCTTCTTCTTTGATTGAACCGGACAAAGTCTCCTTTGCTCACGTGATGGGTAACCCTCAGATGGAGTCCACGGTGGTCTTCCCCTCCAGATATAAGGATTGCACGATAGTACAAATGATTGCCCTTTTGTTAAGAAGGGAAGTAGGAAAGGTAGGAAAGCAACAATCTTCTTCTCTGACTCGGAAATTTCAACCATGACGGACAAATTCAAGTTTGCTCTTATTGAAAAATTTCAGTGGGGGCACCCACCTATGGAAGTTATCAGAAAAAGTGTTGATGATCTTAAACTTGGAGACAAGTGAAAAGTGAGACTCATGGATGTGAGACGTGTGTTGATTCAATTAACTGTGGCTAAAGACTAAACTCGGATTTTCTCCAAGAAATATCTTAATATTGCAGGCAAATCAATGAAGTTAATCAAGTGGTCTCCTGATTTCGACCCAAATCATGAAACTCTCACTGTACCGGTATGGTTTAGTTTATCTGGTCTCAAGCTGCACTTTTTTCATCATCAGGTTCTCTACTCTATTGGGGTCATCCTTGGGGACCCTATGAAGCTAGATCCACCCACTTTCAATCTAACCAGACCTTATGTGACCATAATACTTGTGGAAAGGGATATTACTTTACCCAATGTTACTGAAGTCTGGCTGGGCATAACTCATAATGAATATTGGCAACAAATCATCATGGAACACATACCTCCATATTGTACCCACTGTAAGATGTTTGAGTATATCCTTGATAAATGTCATAAGCTCCACCCTAATTTGAAATCCAAGGTTCAAGTGAATAAGGAAATGTCTAATACCACTGCTCTGGACATTTTCGTTCCACCTGGAGAGAATACTACCAAACAGGAGGTGACTGTTACACATGTGGACGCCCCGATGATACTGCTGCTACTGTTACTGAGATTGATGTGATGTCAGCACCTTCAAACCCCATAGAAAACAATACTGAAGGACTATTACCTACAAAGGTTAGTGATCTGACTGATAATCAAGAGAACCTCGCAGCTCCCCTTCTTCAGGAACAGGAAGTATCCGGTGTAATGTAAAGGCAACTCATACTTCACATAAACTAGAACCTATTATGGGTACTACGGTTGGTAATCCATCTGCTACAGCTCTACCACCCCATCAGACTGATTCTTCGGATGAGGAATGACAGGTTTACACTTCCAGGAGGAAGAAGAAGATTGGAGATTTACTTGAGCTCAGAAGTCTTATGGATGATACTTTGGTTACTTTGGGTAATAATACGCATCTTACCAACTTGTTAGCTGGATACCTTTAGCTGGATCCCTTCCAAGAACTAGAGCCAGAGACAAGACTAGATTGGGATGACCCAGTGGTTTTGGGTTTTTTTATTTTTATATGTACACTTTTTGACTTTTTTGTGTGTTGTACCGTGTGGGTTGGGTGTCTATTTTTGGGCCCACCCATACAACCTATCTATGTATTTTTATATATAGGTGTTTGGTTGTTCATCGGTAGTGAGGGTGGTCCTCGAATAGTTAGGCACACGAGGGTGGTGGCTGGGGGCTCGTTTGATAACCTCCGGCACATTACATATGTATAATATATATATAGGTGCTTGGTTAATAGAATGTTGGTTGAGGTTCCATTCTTCTCTAGCTGCTTCCTACTTCTCTGTTTCCCTCTCTCTTGCATTACAGGAAGAGCCTACAGAAGTTCATCTGGGAACAAGGGGGTTTTTCAATATTCACACTGTGTATGCTTAGAGTTGCGTACATAGGCCACACATAATAATTTTTCAAAATTTATGGGGCTTGATTGATGTCGTAAGAAGATCTCATGTGGAAGTAACATACGCAAAAAATTTATGCAAAATCATCATTAAGGGAGTCGTTATATAATATGAGATTAAGAAAACCCAAAGTGGATGAGGTCATTCAATGTCTCTAGTAAGACTTTATCATTAGTAGTGAAACAATGAAGAAAGCAGCAAGTAATTAATTGGAAATTTAAAAAAATTCTTGGTGCTTTGTGCATTTTTTTAATTTTTTCTTTTAATTCAAGCACTCATCAGTATGTGCTAGGTCTTGAATACGAGAACTTACGATTATATGCCACCTTACCTATGCTTGAAAAAGTGTACTTCACTTTTTAAAGTTTAAAAAGTAAATTTTTTATTAGATATAAAAATTTTGGGTGGAATAAGTATAAAAAGTAAAGTTTACATGTCAGATATGTAAATAAATAGGAGTCGGGTGACATATATGTAAAAGAAGATTGCCACATGCTACTAAATCAAATGGAGATCATAGCATTTTAAAGAGCTGTGTAAAAAAGGAACAAAACCTTACCGAATCAATCAAAGAGACTATAAGTCTAAAGAGATGCTAACATGGTTTAATCGATACCTGTTTGAGGAAAAGTGCAGCCAAGATAGCGCCGCCATGACGGCCTCCACTATTAGCCATATCAGCAACACTCGACTTCATTGACTCCCAATAACTCTCCTCCAAAGGCAACCTCCAGAATTTCTCACCGGTTAACATGGAAGCAGCAGCAATCTCTTTTGCTAGTTCATCGTTGGGAGTGAAGATTCCTGTAAAAGTGAAGGTTTTCTTTTTATGATCAAGGGGTAAAAGAAGTTGCTTCGCTTGCAAACATACCACACAATTCTCATGTATTTCATATCTAAAACATAAACTTCCATATTTACATACATAACAATCTAATCTTAAATATCACACAAAGTACCACAACTATCAACTTTTTAAAAGCGAAGCACACCTTATCATGAGTAGGTTCATGACAATAATGTGTTATAAACGTAAATATCAAACTATAGGTGTTAGATATGTAAATACAAAGGAATTGTGCGGTATGTATGCAAAGTTTCAAAAGAAGTTTCACAATTGCCCGGTATAAGGAATGGAAAACTTCTACAGCAGATCAGATTAACTAAACTATAGTTTTTATTAGCTCGATAGAAGTCGAAATTGCATTAACTGTTTTTTTAAATTATGCGCTGAGAATTTTTTAATCTTAACATAGAATTTGTTAGTTGGATGACATGAGAAAGTACATATTGTTGTGAAAATTATTATTTACCTGCAATGCTGGGCCCAAGGGCAACAATGCAAGCGCCGGTTAGGGTTGCCAAATCAACAATCTGCATTAAACATTAGAAAAATGATGTCAATAACTAAAAAGTTGAGAGCCTGCGCAGAAAGATCCACAAAGAAAGAAAAATTAAGCACATCACAAGCACTAAGACTTGAGCGCCCTAGTGCTACTATGAGATAACTGGAATGTGATATGAGGAAGAAAAATGGAGCAAAACGCCAAAAATATGCAGACTATTTATATTGGGTTATTTTAATCCCCGAGTCTATAGAACTGTCAAATTAGTCTTCGGACTCTTCTAATATGGGCTGAAATGATCCCCAGGGTGGACAATCTTAACCTCAATTAAAAAGCTATGGGGACTAATTTCAAACTTTTTATAGACTCTATAAAACTAAAATGGATCTCTAAAAAAAGTAGGACGCTTTTGACACTTTTCTCAAGAAAAATTGCTTCACGTAAAAACAAAGGGTATCATTACAATAGAATAGAGGTAACAAGCAGGCACTAAAACTTGAGCACTTTTGTGCTTACAATAAGAGAAATGGAATGCAATTAAAAGACGAAAGATGGCTTCAAGTAAGAAAAAAGGGTATCTTTACAATAGCCTAGACGTAAAAAGTAGATAATATATTTGACAGATAACCCCAGAAACAAGCTTGCAACCATTAACATATGAGCATTCAATCATACTACTCAAGCCTTGAAATTAATGCAAATTAAATTAAATAATAATTAAATTGTTCATGAGAAAAACAAAATTTCTTTTATAGTGCTACAGTCTCCTCTCCCATAAGTAAACAATCATACCTTTTCGACACCTAGATTACAAGCATATACCAGAGCGTCTGCAAGGGTTAGCCTTCCTTCAGCATCAGTATTATTAACCTACAAAGTAGAGTATATTAGCACTTAGATTTAGCCATTAACAAATGCTCAATTCCATATTATTCATCTAAATCAGAAAAGGAAAAGCATAGAAAAAGAATAGTATTCTTCATTTGAGGTGTGCTGAACACAATAATGTGTCTAGTCATTGTTAGGTGCGTGGATCATCAGAGGTCCAAGTTAAGCCCACTATATTAATGGGGAATTTAAATACATACCACCCAATTCCTATGTATTTACATATCTAACATTTAAATTTTGCTTTCTACATTTATACCACCCAAATCATTAATATCACATAAAAAAATACTATTTTAACTTTTAGAATGTGAAATACACCTTCTTCGTGTATAAGTAAGGTGCCATATATATGTAAAAATTGCCCATCGGAAACGGTGGTTTTCATTTCTAGTATATTAGAAACTTCTTGTTTCACTTCATATGTAGAACTATTCTCCACTCTCAAAAAGAAGAAAGATCAAGAAGATGAAGAGAACCTTTTTGATATTTTGTAGATAATTGTCTAGAATTCGATATCATTCCACATATTTTCGAAGAGTTTCTTAGACACACAGTTCTTTTGATCATTCATCATCTTCCGAGTGAACCCTTCAATCTCTTAGAAATAATAAGAGGGCAGGGAACATTTACACTCGGGTCATTGTATAATTTAAAATGACAAACCCTAATATATCTGTCCACATAATTTATTGTGATATTTTAAGAGGTTTTATATAAACATGAAAGCATAATAACATGAAAATAATATTATGCAACAAAATAATACTAGAACATAAACTTGCATAATTTTATGATGTTGGGATCTTCAAATTCTGCATCAATACTTGGCCTTAAAACAGCTATTATCTTGAAGAGTGAGTATGGTTCTAAAGATGAACAAACTAGCTCTAAAAGCATAACATATTTGATTACTTGTGGAGTCATGGGGCAAACAAAGAAACACTATTTCTTAAGGGGAGCTAAGGAATTAATTTTAACCAATTGACTTCTTTTTTTTTGCCTGCCTCAGAATCCAGAGTGAAACTTTCAAACAGCTGGAAATTACTGGCTATTAAACTATCATTATTTTGTTAAAGAAGACTCTCCAAATAGTGGCATGAGGCCAAGATCTTCCAATCAGTAATTTGTATAATTGTTCTTTCTTCTAAATTTATTGATTGGTGTGCCTGTTTAATTGAAATTTTGTCAAATTTGATTAGTGTTGACCCATATTTGTGCTATGAATTTCAATTGCTGCCGAATTTTACATTTGTTCCAAATTTTCTAGTGAAATTTTGGATTTTGGCGTATTTCACATTATCAATTAGAATGAATGAAATGTTCTTTTTTGCATCAAAAGAAATAGATCTTCGCTTAAATGAATAGTTAGGAAATTATAAATAATAATTTTTCCTGTTTCTTTTTGTATGCATCCTAATTTTATATTAACCTATAGCCTAAAACAACCAACGTCAGAAGAAAAATTCTTCTCAAACGGAAAAAAAAACTTTACTCTAGCCTTCTTCTAACAATTTAGCCTCCCTTTGATTGGTGGTCCAACACTCCCCGAATTATCCAGCTAGACACTTTCGTTCTTCCGCTTAAACCCCTAAAGCTCTAAATCCAACATTAAAAACTAGAGCCATTTACATACATACCACCCAATTCTTATGTATTTACATATCTAACAACTTATCTAACAACTAAACTTTGTTAAACTTTGTTTTTTTACATTTATACCAACCAAACCTTTCATATCACATAAAAAATACCACTATTCTCACTTTGAAAAACGAAATACACCTTTTTGTGCAAGGGTAAAATACCACTATTCTAACTTTGAAAAACGAAATACTCCTTTTCATGCAAGGGTAAGATGGTATATATATATAAAGTTTAGGTGTAAGATATGTAAATCCACAAGAAATGAGTGGTATGTATGAAATCCTGAAAATTCTGATCATTCCAGATATTAATCGAGTAACATAACTAGTAGTAAATTAAAGAAGAAAGGAAACAAATAAAATAGCCAAAAGTCTAAATTCCTCTTTAAAAAAATCAAAATGCAGCAGATATTTACCTCAATTGTCTTTCCATTGGATGCAGTCACAATATCACCTGGTCTCATGCCTGTGCCGCTGATCATATTTTCACAAGCAGCCACGATAAAATGAACCTGAAATAGAAAGTTTCACCCAAGTTCAAGAGAAACATGCTGCAGATACCTGCAAAACATAAAATTTATGACATAATTTCTTGTATAAAGGAAATATCAACTTACCTCAACTCCTGGAGGTTTGATTTGACCAATAACTTTTGCTGCACCAAAAGCAGCAGCAGAGCCTCCCATATCAAATTTCATTGTATCTATTGAGCAAGCTGGCCCAACCTTTAAGTTGTAACCACCGCTGCATAAAAATAGGAAATAATAAAATATGAAAAAGGCTTTACTTACACCTAATTTACCATTTAAATTTTTATTATCCACTTCCATAGATCCTGCATGATTTTACATCCAAAAGACTAAAGAAAAGCTAAAAAATCTTATGTCCCCTTTTAAATGCTTGGATGGATGCTTTTGTAATCCTGCCGTATTCACAAAATGGAAAACTTCATGAGATTTTGGTTAAACTTCAAAAAAAACAAGAATGTAGAAGTATGCAATTCACAAATAAGTACAACATCGAGAGAATATTTTGGTAAAACCGAAAATTCTTACGAGTTGAACGCACGTAATTATGTTTATGACATAAAGAGAATAGATTTTGTGATAAAGGTTAGAATGCCTATTATCATAAAGTTCATGACATCAATGATTTTGCAATGTATTACCTGTCAAACGTCAATCCTTTTCCAACTATGGCTATTTTCGTTTTCACATCGCCATTTGGAGGTCTATAACATAAATGGATGAAATGTGGTGGATTTGAGGAGGCAGCACCAACACCAAGATATGAACCCATCTTCAATTCCGTGCATTGCTCCACATCTAATATTTTTGCAGTAAAGACATCACTGTACGTGGAAGCAATTTTTGAAGCTTCTTCTGCCAGTATGGCTGAAACATAACAGAGCAAAGTTAGGGATGTGTTTCAATTTCAGCAAAAAAACAGGTTGATAATGGAAAATTATATCCAAACTAATTGCATTATTCCGTTATAAGATACATAGTTACTGGAGACTTGAGAATCTAAAGGAACTAAGATAATGCATGCTCTGTTGGATCGAAAAATCACCATTCATCTCGAGAAAATTCGAGGATTTGGTCTGAAGTTTGGATTTACTAAGAAAATCAAATGAGTTACCGCAGAAACTTGCAACAAAATAAAAAGATCACCGTAATGACCAGTGTTGACCTCATTTTTAGTGAGGTCTAGTCTTTCTCTTAGGATTTAGGATCTAGCCTTAGGGACCTCCCTTCGACTATCTTAGAACCTTAGAAATGGGACCCGCCTTGTTCTAGAAATTCAACACGTTTCTGTACTCTTTTGTGGTTTCGCGTGTGTGGTATCGACTTCTAACACTTAGAAGGATGAAACCAACATGAGGAACCCAAAAGGGATTCCTATAGGACCTTTTGAGCCTTAGGGTGAACTTCTGCACAATCCGCACTCCCGCACGCATAAACTTCGCAATTCAGAGAGTCGACAAGTCCGATTGCCACAATTCGAATCACTTGCACTGTTACCCGTCGAAGACTCGAATAAACCTTTTGAAACGATCGATCGCGGGTCGAAATTTTGTGAAATTTAAATTTTGACGCGTTTTTGACCCGATTGTCGACGATGTCGTCCGAGCGACCCCGGATGACAAAACGGACTGCACCAGCGCGTCCGGAATGTCGATTTTACCTAGGGAGGACACCCATTTTGTTACGTCACCGCGCGTGAATAAGTCGCATGTGATTTAATATATATATATATATATATATATATATAAATTT